GACGTACATACATATGTATGAACTGCAATGCACAGCACTACAAAGAGTAAACTGACGCGCGCCATATTTCAACAAAACAAGAAACCATATTTTATTCTATTTATTTTTTTTTTTTTGAATCACATTTGCGGCTAAATCTCGTGTTTTCTTTCATGTGTGTACATATTTACAAAAATGGATTTATGTGTACTATTTCGAAAACAAGGAGAATAATAATGCTGGCATTTTACCAAAAACGCAAATATTTAGCATATCGTACCTATTTTGTTTTGGTAAAAATTGTTTTCCATTTTTAAATACTAAGAAAAAAGGAGAAATAACAAAATAGAACTGCAGCCAAAGTATAGGAAGAAAGAAAGTTATGTATAAAAATGGAGTAATAATATGAAATGGTGGTTATTAATTCAAAATATTTATTAAAAATTAATAATAATATTAGATAATTCACTGTATTGATAGTCAAACCCGGAAATTGCGCATGTATAAAAATGTATTGACATAAAACTGTACATCAAAACTTCAATTATCGAGAGGGTTTGAAAAGGACCTTATGTATTTACAAAGTAAATATATTTAGCCTGCCATTTTCGTACTTTATTAACAGAGGTATTCGAAAAGGACCTTATGTATTTGCAAAATAAATAAAAAGTCGACCATTTTGATAAACGATTGACATACAGGTATAATGTAAGTCACAAAATGCCTGAGTGTTTTGACGGTAGATCCATCAATGAGTTACCCACACATATATAATTTTAGAAAGCACTGTGTTTTCACAAGTAGATAAGGTAGAAGGTAGGTATATGACATTGTGTTGATCATAAATAGATACATACAAATGCAAAACAGCATGGACAATATCCTAATCCAACAAAATTTTTAACATATGCATAGCATACACTTACATTTGATGGATTTATCTGTAGAGATGTGCAGACTACACTGCAAACAGATGTTTCTTTTTTTTTAAATGTTTTATTTTAAATAACATTGCTATTTTCAAACAAATTTATGTATGAATATTCACAATCTGCCTACCTTCTTAAGGGCATACCTAACTTTTGTGTTGGAAAATGGGAATAATTGTGAAACAACGAAACCATGCCTTTGGCTGTAACAATATCTAGTCAGATAAGGTTTCCAAATAAGCTAGGTAGCCGTTTTTGCCTAACTGATATATTGCAATTTATGTATCTACACATAGAAAGCTGATAAAATAGTTAAATTTGGAATCGAAATAAGCAAATTTTATGTATATATCTTATATTTAATATACGATAAGTTATACGAAATGTATTTGTACGAAAAATAGCATCTGTCAAATAAATATGAGTATTCGTTTTGTTGTTTTACCGCTCTACCCTCGCTATAACATTATAAATATAATACAGGTATCGATACAGGGAACAAAACTGCAATAATCCAACAACTTGTAAATAGTTTACACTGAATTCGTGAATTTTGAACGAAAATTCCTCTTTGAGAACTCATCAAGGATTACTACCATAACTGACAGTAGCTACAACTTTTTGGAGTCATTCAGCTATGTCGAATTCAAAGTAATGGAGTAACATTTACAGCAATGTTTATGGTATGGCAACTTCTATTACCTCCCGCTGTACTGGACACACATGGGGTACGGTATAAGTAGGTGCAAGACGACGAAATGGCTGATTTTTATATTCACGAAAATATGTATGTATGTAAACCTATATRTATGTATATAAATGTATTTAGAAAAGCTGTTTGGCCTTCGTTGTTGTCTGTGGTTATTGCGTCGCAGGGCCGCAAATGAAAATGTTTTCAATGTTTGATATTTATTTCTTTTTAACAATGTACATATACATATAAGACGTATACAAATGAATATTGATATATTATGTATGGAAGTTGCGGCTATAGATTTAGCATATTTTATATTATACTGAAAATAATATAATATAAAATATTATATACATATATTTATATAACACTGCATATCATGTTGTCGAAAAGAACTAACTGCAATATTGAATTAATAGCGGTTTGTATGGAAACTCCATAAAATGTCACGCACCGGTATAGACATACAGATGTACTTACATACATACATTTGTACATACGCGAAACGAGGCATAAATTAAATAAAAGTTACGTACTAGCATACATTTTACTTTTAGAAAGTATTCATTCTTAACGACATTATTGAAGTCGAAATTCAAACGCAAGTCAGTTCGCAACAAACATACACGTACATAAAATATATAAAGAACAGACGCGTTTGTTCCAAACAGATGATTTGAATGCATGAGCAAGTTACATATATGTATATACGAGTTTGTACATATCTATGTATGTATATACTTTCTTTGTTCTTAATATACATATGTACGTAATTATTGCACAGCTTAAAAGTTGTCGTAAATTTTTCATTATAACAAATTAATATGGAAATGGAATCCATTCAATTTGCGGCACACATTTATTTATGTTCCTTATTTGCGCATTTAGCACAGGAAAAGAAACTCAATTGCGTCAAAACACAATAAATAAAAGATGAAATTGCCAGAGGGCGGAGGCACGAACGCGCTGCAGCCCGGGACGCGTACCGCATGATATCAGCGGCCTTCAAAGCATATTATGCGACCTTAACAATATGAAAAGCCCTATCTAGGATGTAGTAACAATTTTGCAAATGGATGTGCTATTCCTAAACTATGAATTTAAGTCTTTAAAAAAATAAATTTCACTCACCGTTGAATTTTCACACAAACAAACGCACGAATCGAAATTCTAAAAGAAATTAAATTTTTACCGCACTGTTCGAAAATCGAAGAGTAACTAAAGTGACCATGGTGTTTTCGCTTGGCTTGTATCTTGTCCGCTTTTGTGTATCTTCGCATTTGCGCGATTTCTTTTGCATTTTGTTGTTATTTTCATTGTGTTTTGTTTTCCTTGCGTCTCTTCTATTCGAATACGCGTGAGTGGGAGAAGGAAAATTGCATCAGCCGGTGCATTACAAACAGAGTTGCATTTTCATTAAATTTCAAATTTAGTAATGCCTTCTTAACACCGATATATGCACATGATATATCAAGATATGTAAATGTTTTCCTTAACTCATTGGAGTTCACAATAATAATATTCTTTTTGAGATATTTATACTATTAAATACAATGCAATCTTATTAATAATTACTAACTGAAACTGGAAATCTATTTTAAAATTATTATTTGTTATTTTGAACAGTTTTCAGACTCATATTCACAATGGTTTGTAAACCATTCCCTACGGGAGCCAACCGATCCTAAATTATTTACTAATGTCTAATTCTCATAGAATTTCTGGTTCACTTTGCGTCAGGCATTTTAACGCGGTAGACTGAATTTTAAAATATATAACGAAAGAGTTGTCTTTAGAATATAAATCCAATATCTAATGCACATTTAGTGGTACTGTTCCATGAAATCTATGCGTTAATGCTCTTTTAACATAAAGCAATAACCAGGTTTTAACAAAAAAATCTTTTAACTTTTTTATTCTACCTTTTTACAGCCAAGATATATATATATTTGCTTATAACATTCAAAACATTTGTAATATTGTGTGGAAAAAGTTTTTGCTACATAATTCATTACGACGTCAATCTTAATCGCAAATGTTATCAGCAGTTATTTCAGTATTTTCGGCTTAATTGTCATTCAAATGATTTTCTGCCTCTTCTAAATTAAGTTTAGGTTTAGCACCCTTCCTTTCAGGTAACGTTTCAATAATGGCTTCAGTCCACGACTTTCCTTCCGAAACCCGCAAGAGTATTTCGAACACTGAAATTATTTGAAAATCGTTAAATATATCGTCATTTTTGGTAACCAAATAACTTACCATGAAATGTACTAAGTACTGCACGTGTTTTCATATTCACGTGCTCGTTTAGTGGAAGACGCGCTGTGCGTAATCCGCTGTCGATTGCTCGTTTATGACACAGACCCTTATGATGATTGTGATCCACTAAACCTCCAATTATGTATATTTTACTCTCCTCAATACCATCTAGCACAGTATCCGATTCACATGTCAGGTATATTATATTCTCTTTAGGAAAAACTTCCAAATGTGTTGAATCAAAATGATATTTCAAATGCCAATTTTCCCAGCCATCATTTCGTTTAAGACTATTGTGAATCCGACCGCCAGTTTTAATACCAGTTAGGTGAAGTTGTCCTGGACATGTTGAACGACGATTTATTGTATAAATACGTAGACACTGTTTTATGCATTTCGCCACGTCGCGGTCATGCATCAATTCATCGTAGTCTAAATCAATTGCTACACTAAGTTTGCCCAACTCTTGTTTATCAACCTCAGCTTGACGCTTCTTAAGCTCTTTCCGTGAAGGACCATTTCTAATGGGTAATCCTTGAGCTTGTGCTTCAAGTCGCTTTTGCTTTTGTCTTTCACGTTCTTTCACACGACGAGCCTTTTTGAATTCTTCATACTTTTCCAAACGTTTTTGTTTCTTCAATTGATTTTTGCTTAGAGGATTTGGTGGGGTTTCTCCAGGCCCATGCAATTTTGTTTCACATTCTACCAGTTTGTTTTTGTCATCATCTGCAGTTTTTTGCAATTTGGCTTGTGGCTCCAAAAATTCTTCGGGCATACTTGTTTTTATTTATTTCCTTACACGCTGTTGAATCAGCTGATGCCGATTGGTGGGACGTAAAACTATCAGAAATTAAACAGATATGTTATAAAGATAAATGCAGAAAAGAAAACGAGTACCCTACCCATTTCAATCGTGTGTAATAGTAATTTTTACAAATGAAATTCCATTTATGTCATTTTAATTATTAATAAATTTATTGTAATAATGAAGAGATAATAAGTATATTTTAAATATATAAAATTAAATTATGGAAAATATTTATAATAATTCAATGCAGCCCTGTTATTTCCACCGTACAAAAACAAAATAGCCGAGCGTGCGTCGTTTTGTCTCGTAGGAAATGTCAAATAATTCGAAAGCAATAGTTAACGGCAGTTGCGTTTTTTCTTCAATCTTAAAATTTATGAACTTTAGATTTCTTTACGAAAAATTATCATGACAAATAGATTATGTTAATTTTGGAAGTTATTATAGTTAATTCATCACCGCTAAAGGTCGTAACTGTAAATAAACAAACAGAAAGCGCAGAGTGGGAAGGAAACTAATCAACTGCGACATTTTGAAAAAGAAAAGACGCGGCAAAAGAACGATTAGTGAATTAATCTTTTTTTTTCTAAAATATATCAATACTAGGATTTAAAAATCATCGGTTATTATATGTATATTCGTTCTACAGTTTGTCATTGCTGTTGTGCTGTGGTTTTGTGAAGAAATATATATTCAAAATTTTCTTATAATAGAAATTCCAAGTGAGCCAGGTAGGCAAAAAGACGTCATAGGGAACGATACGGATTAAACAAGGAGCAAAGCCAATATTTTGCTACAATGGATGTGAGAAATTGGAAAAAAGTCCTATTGCATTGGGTGAGTAATAAATAAAGTCAATAAAATTTTGAAATGGTAATAACTAATAGCACACAAACTTTACTTGTGTACTCGTAGGTAACTGAATGCGGTTTTGTTGCCGCTAATTACTTCAGCTTGGAACAGACAGATATTGACGAATTTTATAGAAATTTTCGCTTAAATCACAATTTATTACAAAAGTCAGAATCACAAGACAACGTAATAAGTTTCTTAATAGGTAATATTGAAAGCAAACGAGAATATATCTACTATTATTATAAGTATTTACTTTCTTATTTTTCAGACCAATATGCCGATTATACTCCCCTACTGGACGAAGAAAATACTATCAGTTCAACAGAGTATATCTATGTTTATTCCCTATTTTTACATTTTTGTTGTGTAAAATGTCCAGAAACAAATTTTCATGACATCTGTAAGAGATTGTCTGTAAACAACCAACGAAATATTGCTGCCTTCTTCAATGAGTTAATTGATTGCCAGTCCATAAACCGAGAAAAGCTGCGACAAGCTATTGCTGGTACAGCTTCGCGAAGTAACAATTCACCGGGTACAACAAGTGACAGTCATTCCAGCAGCAATAACTCAACGGGTACCACCAATAATTTTTCGTCATCAGCTTTTCCCCGTCTAGATTCACCATGTCGACCGTCACGCTATGCTGCAGGCAATAGCAGTCCACGTATTGTACCGCCAACCCCAAAATCAGCAATGTTGGAGGAGCGAACACGAGAGCTCTATAATTTGCGAGTAAGTATAAAGCATAAAATATTGAATGGAAATTAAATAATAATTATCTTTAAATATTTAAAATAGGCACAACTGGAGACGGAGAGATACGAAAAGGGGCTGCTGGAAGTGCAAATAAAACAAAATGAAGAAAAGATGAAGAAATTAAGTAAGTGCAACTGAGCTTTGTTACAATTCAAATACTGAACGCTTACTATTTCTTACAGATCAAGATCATAAAAAGCTGCACCAAACAATTCAAGATTTAAAAAACGATATACTCACGCAAAATACAACAGAAAGCAGTTCCCCAAAAAATAAAGATGGAGAACAGGTAATGCTACATTTAGTTGTTTTCAGTTTATTTTACTCTCGGCTACTCCATAAYAGCCCAGTATAAATTTCGTTGTAAAATTTATATTATATTTATATTTTCATTTTATTTATATATATATTTTTTTTATTTGTATATATATATTTTTTTTTATTTATATATTTTTTATTTATTTTTATTTTCATTTTATTTATATTTTTATTTCAAAAAATGGCTTTGGTAATGAATGTTTAGATGAAACGTCGTTTATGCAGAGAAGTGACCCAAAAGGAAACCGAAATAGCAAAACTCAACGAGGTGCTGGGAAATCTAAGGGAGGAAAAGAATTTGGTTCAGGAGAAGGTAACGTACGCACTTGTTGTTCTGTTGTTTTATTGTTGTTATAAACTGTATGCACATTTTATCTTACAGCTTGATCATGCTGAAAAACAAATAATGGTTTGCATGAATCGTATTACAGAGCTGGACCTGAAAGTCGATGAGCTTACTACTGAACTCGAGGTACTTATACTAATTATTTATACATATTTTGCCTGAAATCTAATATATATGTGTACACTTATTTCTTAACAGCAAAAAGAGTTCACCATACAATGTTTAAGTGAAAACAAACTGGAACTGGAACAGTTTATAAATGAGACGCGTTCAACGGGGAATAATTCGCGTCCTGATTATTTGGATGCTTCATTCTCGCCACCCACTGATGGAAGTTCAAGTAGTCCGGAAAATCTCGCACGCTCCGTGGTCGATGTGCAGTTGCGCGAGAAGGAACACGAAAATTCTGAATTACGCGACGAATTGTGCGCGCTAAGAAGCAACAATAAACGTTTCGCCGAGTTAATACGAAAATTTACAACCAAACATGCGCAGGAATTCAACATAGAAACAAGAATTGGAGGAGCAGACGAGCACAAAGAAATCACGCCAGCCGATTGTCTCAATCATTTGGTTGACTATGTCGAACAACTGGGTTCGTATTATAAAGACGAAAAGGGACGAGTGAAAGCCTTACAAGGTGAGCTACAGTCCAAGCAGCGACGTAACGATGAACTCAGTCGCAGCCTGTTAGAGTTCGAGAAGGAGGTGGGCGCATTGAAGGAACAACTAGAAAGTGTAGACAATTTAAATCTGGAGCTGGAGCAAGCGAAGAAGCGTATGCAAGAAAAGATAATACGTTGCGAACAGGAGATTGCCAACATTACCGAGCAGAAATACGAGTTGGTCGCCAGGCTCGACACGCTGGTCAATGATTATGACACGCACAAGCATAAGTGTGCCGCACAGCGTCAAGAATACACGACAAAAATTAAAAATCTGGGTAATGAAATATCAGACTATGAAAAAGTCAATGCTTCGATACGGAAGGAAAACGAAGACTTGAACGACGAGGTGGCCACGCTGCATAAGAAGATAGAAACACTGCAACAAGGCATTCTCAACAACACCGATGAGATACGAACATTAAATGATCGCATCAAAACCTATCAAAATGAATTGGAGGCGCACGACAAAACCGAGAAAATGCTGAAGGAGAAATACGAAAAAATACTCGTACAACATGAAGACACCAAACGCGACAGGCGCGAGACAGCCGATCACCTGGAAGCCATGCAGAATAAGATCACGGTGAAAGAATTCGAAATGGGCAAATTGGGCGTGGAAATAATCGAAGTGCGCAAGAAGAATGATGAGCTGGAGAAGCGCATTGACACGCTCCTAACGGAATTCAAAACCGAAAAACATAACTACGAATTGGCCATAAATACGCGCGATGAACGCATACGCAAACTAACGGACGAGCGTAATACGGTGGAGGAAAGCTTCGGCAAGCTGAAGAAAGAGAATGAGCTTTTGCAACAGGACTTTAAGGAGGCAAAAGCGGAGCTGAGTGCGGCGCTTAAGACATTCAATGCTTTGAATATGCTATTGTGCGGCGAAAAATGCAATACCTCCGTTAATTTGGCGCAAAGACTGTCGGAAGTCTTAAGCAGCAACAAACGCTTAGCGGAGGAGAAACTGCAACTCAATAAAAAATTGGAGCATATGAGCTGTAATCACACCGAAACGGTTTCGAAAATGGAAGTTGTGGAACACCAAATGAAGAATCTCATCACAGAAAAAGAGGAAGTAGAAGCCAATTACAAAGCGCTATTGGAGCAGAGTGACATGAAGCTGAAAAGTGCGGAAGATCAAAACAAAATTTACGAGGAAGACATTGGCAATTTGAAAGAGGCCTTCAAGCAGGTCACGGATGAGATGCAAAATGCGCTACAGGTGAACACCGAAGACCACACAGTGCGTTTGATGGAACTTGGTGTTGAGCACGAACGTGTTGTGAATGCGCTGCAGGTAGAGCTTACCGCCACCAAAGAAGAGTTGAACCTTAAGGAACACAATCTGAAGACGCTCATGGAAGAGAGTAGCGTAGTCAAGAAGAAACTGGAAGAGAGCATTAAACGCTTGGAAGAAGTACAAAACGAACACTTGCAAGTTGGCAAAGCCAGTAGTGAAAAGCTCAAAACTTTGGAGGCACAAATGGATGAAGTAGTAAAGGAAAACAAAACGCTGCTGCATGAAATCGACACCTTCAAGGCTGAACACAACAAGGTCAATGGTAAAATACTCGAAGCCGACAGCGCCTTAAACGAACTAAATGCGCAGCTGCTGCAACAGTTAGATCACAAAGGTGAATTGAGCGTGAAGCTGCAGGCAAGTGAAACGCGGTTATTTGAAACCGAGCAAAAGCTCGAGAACATACTCACGGAGAAGGCGCACACTATAAGTGGTCTGAAAACCGCGTACGAGAGTCAAACAGCCGTGCTGAAACGCGCCGAAAATCAAGTGAGCACATATGAAAAGGCGAACTTGAAGCAAACACAACAAATTGCCACATTGCAGCAGAATTTGCAAAAGGTCAGCGAGGAAAAGGAGCGGCTGAGCAAAGATGTCGCTTCGTTCACATCACAATTGCAGCGTGAGCAAGATGAGAAGTCGGCGCTGTTAGCCTCGTTAGAGCAGACAGCCGATCAACTGAAGTTGGCGATCTGTGAGAAGGATCAGCAAGCAAAGATATTGGAAAAAAGTTGCGATGAGCTCAATAATCAACTGCGAGATGCCAATGAAGTTGTCGCTAAGCTACAAACTGATATCTCAGCAAAAGAGGCACAACTGCAGCGGCTGCAAGAAGAGCAAGAGCACGAACGCGATAATTGGCAGACGAAATTGTCGGAAATGATGCGCATGCTTGCCGAGCAGTCGGTGGAGCAGGAGAATAATGACGGCATATTGCAGCAAATCATCACGGTGATCGAGAATCACTGCAATTCAGTGGCCGATGCGGAGAAGACGCTAATCGATGAGTTCATAAAGGTGCCCGCGTGTGAAAAGGATACGCAACTGGGTAAACTGCGTGGCGCACTAAATGGGCTGCTACATAATATCGCACAATTGCACACACAACTTGACCAGACCGAACAGAAACGACAGGGCGCTGTTGAGGTGCTGGAAAAAGCGAACGACAAGTTGAACAATCAGCTGCTCAGTCGAAATGCCGAAATTACCGAGCTGCAACAGCAACTAATTGGTGAGCGTAAGCAAAGCGCCGTGGCGGAACATCTGAAAGACGAACTCCATGATTTGAAAGCTTTCAACGAAAAGTTGAGAGCGCAGCTGGTACAGCTCGAGCACGAGTACAGCGCGGTTAAAGAGCAATACCAGAACGCCGCAAATGCGCTGGAACGCTTGGAGCAGGAGAAGCAAGAAGTGAAAAACGAACTGCAGCGCGCCAATGAAAATGTCACGCGCCTCATACAAGGCAGCGATGCCTTGAGGCAGGAGAAAGACACGCTCGTCGAACAGCTGCAAGAGCTGCGTCTACAGCTCACACAAACCAGCGTGCAGCACAGTTCAACCGAGTCGATGGTGAAGAATATCTTGCAGAATTCCACTACACTGGAGCGTAAGCTGGACGCCACCGAAAACGAGTTGAAATTGCTGCGTGTGCAATTGCAAACGCTGGAGAGCAAGAAGGAGGAATTGGCTGCTGAGAATATCAAGTTGCGTGAAACACAGGAGGCTTATCAGAAACGTATTGAAAAAATGGCTGTCAAGTTGGGCGATACGCAAGCGCGTTGCTCGAAGAGTGAGCACGAAAACGAAAAGCTCAACGAGACGCTGAATACAACAAAGACTAGTGTCGAGAAGTTGAAACGCGAAAAGAGCACGCTGGAGACTGACAAACAAGTGCTGCAAGAGCGCGTAGCCGCCACAGAACGCAGCCAACAACAGCTAATCACGAAGGTGCATCAACTCGAGCAAACGAAGCAGACACTCGAGACGGAGAAAAAGCAATTAGAAGCCGCTGAGGCAGATGTTAAAGCCAAACTGACAAAACTCGAGAAAATACGTCAAATGAATGAGGAGAAAATACGAAAGTTGAACTATTCGCTAGAGACAACTGAAGCGAGCAATGTGCGTTTGAATCACGAAATCGGTGCCATCAATTCGCAACTGAATAAACTGCAAAACACCATTAGTGCAGACAACACTGCCGAGAAGTTGAAGGTCGCACTTGAGGAACGCGAACAAGCGCTGGCACGTGCTAACGAATACGAAGCGCTTGCAAATAAGCTGCAAGCCGATGCCGAACAATTGCAAGAGCAAAATTCCAATATCAACGATCAACTATCGAAAATCTCTTTATCACTGCAGATATCACAGGAGAAATGCGAAAAGCTGTCACAACAAATGTGCGACCTCGAGATGGACATGTGCGCGCTGAAGGAGGAGAAAGCGCAAATTGAAAACGAACACTTGAATACCTGTGCCAAGTTAAAGGCATACGAAGTGCAAAATAATAACTTGCGTTCGGAGCGTGAAGAGAAAGTTGTCGTACTCGAAGCGCAACTGGAACAAATTCGCAAGGAGTTAAGCATTAAAGCCGAAGAGATTACAACACTGCAGTCGGAGCGTGACAGCTTGCGCTGTGGCAATGAAGAGGACGACGAGGAGCTGGAGCAATTGCGTAAACGTTTGGCTGCTGCCGAGAAGCAAGTCGAGTCGGAGCAGCAGGCCAATACCCAACTGCGTGTGGACAATCAAATTTTACAAGCCAAATATCGCGATTCCAAGCAACGTCTGCAGGAGCAAACCGAAAAGGCGGAGGAACGCATCAAAGAGAATCGCCTGGAGATGGAAGTCAAGTTGGATAAAATGAAGAACAAAATGGTAAGTTGTACCGCAGCACAATACACACATTTGTACGTAGTTAGCACTCGGTGTTGTAGTCTATAAATTTTTCTCTTAATATTTTTTCGTAACCTTAGTTGAGCAAAGTCCTTGCGTACTCTAGTCATACCCAATTGTAGGGACATCACACTGTTAACAGTCCTTAAGTGTCTTAAGCTAGTTTGTATAGGTTTGTAGCGGAAGCTTTAATGGTATTTTAAGTGTCACTAAATCGCATTGAAGATAACAATCTGATAATATGCTTTATTTTTTTTTGAATCTTACGAGTTCATAGAGCGAGTGGAAAAAAATAAAACTGAAAGCTATAAGAGGAGTCATTTTATGTCTCCAAACGCCACGACCGCGTCAATTTGATCTTGTAAGGATGTATGCCAAGATCTTTTGGCAAAATTCGCCACAACGAGAATGATGCCCAATGCTTGAGAACGACTTATGAGAGACTGCGCCAGCGGCAGTAATATTCTTGACACTACGGGCACTTATTTCTCTCACTAGCACGGGAACATTTTTTATTGTGTCTGTAGATTAAAATTTTTCCAGGACGGTTATGACGACTATAAATTGGACGAAGCATTCTTAATGTTAAGGTCACTGACTCCGAATTCTGGTATTAAATTTTAATAATTTCAGCGCGTTGGATCGTATATCTTTCGACGATGATATGGCAATAGCAAATGATTTGCTGTCGTTAAAAAAAAAAAAACGTTATAATTCAAAATTGATTAGGCGTCGGCGGACCGCCTGCTTTTAAATGAAAATCTTAAATAATGGTCAATATATGAGATATTGTTAAAATCAATGCAATTTCAAAAAATTAGATGCCATATAATTAGTTCGGTTGGTTTTAAAATCTCGTTACTCGGTAGCATCTGATAGTATTTACAATTCCGTTGGACTTTCCCTGATAATACTGATGGTTTACAATCTTTTTGAGCAGGTTGTTCGAATTCTTAGTCTTTTATTTGCATATTCTTAGGCGTAATTCATAAATAAGTAGTGCAGCGAAGTTTTTGTCATAATTCACTGATTTTATTATGAGAAAGTCATAAATTAAACATCTTTCCATAAATAAATGTGCATTTGTAAATCAGTTTTGTTGCGCAATGGACGGAGCTGGAAACAGAAAAATATTCAATACTGTTAGACGTCAGATATTTGATCACATAAAAGCCTATTTAGTTTACTAAATTCAATACTAAGCTACAAAAACAACAAAACAAAAGAAATGCCACTGTATTTCGCATGAAAATACTTCCATGCAAAGCATAAAATTCATAAATGCATAACTGAGCAATATCCCCAACATCACCATTAACACGAGCACTTTCATACACGAATTAAGCTAAACTTAACTTACTTAAAGCAACATTTTTAGCGAAATTAGCCATTGCTGACCTTGGTTTTTCTTTTCTTCCTTTTTTCATTATATCTTCCTTAAAACGAACTCGAAACGAATAACGCAGACGCAATGTCACAGGTTCGAAATCTATGGGACCCGGACAAAGTGGAAAAAACGATTCAACACCTGTTTCAAATATTTCGTTGTTGTATTCATGTCGCAAGTAATGCTTGCAATCACGCTCAATATCTTTATGACGCGCAATGATATGGAGCTGTCCATCAAAAGCAACTCTCCGGCGGTTTTCTAAGCGCGCCACTTACGTTACGTAACTTAATTACACCAAGGCTTGTGACATGCGCGATGATTTCTCTCAGCATCGATCATGTATTAATTGTTATAGAATTTTAGCTTGTACTTAATCTTAAACTGTATATATACGTATATATATGTATATGCGCGTCTAGATTTATCTATTTGTGTGTTTTAGTTTTGTTATTGTAAAATTTTGAAAGATATATATTAATAACATTATTTTTTTAATGTTTAACAAACGAGAAGCCAACTTATGTTTTTATGCATGTGTGTTTGTGTAGTATATATTTTTTTGTAAGTGAGGAAGTGTTGCATGCACCGTTAGCAGAAGCAGAGCACACTCTTTGTACAGCTGTGATGTCCCCACAGTCAGTTGACCAACTAATTACTCCCCCTTTAGTTGTTGTTTTTACACAAGCAGGAAAATTTATATTTTTAATAGCGAATTAATTTTTTTTTTTTAATTTTTTATAATTTAAAATGCTATTTTTGCATCCTTTTTGCCTCGAATACAAATTTAAATTTTAGTCTAGACAAATACATAGACTTCATGTCATTCGCCATGCAATCCTTAGTTAGTCATTAAAAAAATTTTTTGTTTAGAAGTTTTACAACAAAAACAAAAAAATATTCTCATTTTGCGCCCTCTATTTGTTTCTCAATTTCCATTTGACCGTTTCCGGTCGCCTTTCCACATTAAATATTGAAACGCCTCGCCTCCCCGTCACCCTTCAATCCGTTTGCATTACGTTTTGCTTGCGTAAATCTCGGTCATCAGAAAACATTATACACCGACGAAGTGACGAAAATGAAAGGCAAACAAGATCGCGAAGTCAGCAGCTTACGCGCCGATATGGATGTGCTGAAGGCACAGGTAAGTGGCGACGCATTTACGCATAAATAAATTATAAACGTGCATATTTTCTTAATTTTTTGAACTTTATGTACGCAGAATGAAAAGTACGAGGAGCATATACGCAAGCTCTCCGGTCAAATAATGAAGACGAATGATCGCATATTGGAATACCAGAAGCAAAATGCCATATTGTCGACCAAACTAAATAAATTGCAAGAGACCGCTGCGGATGTACACTTCAAACGTCCCAGTTTTGCGACAAATTCATTGCCGAGATCGCTATCGTCGGCTGTATCTAATGCGGCGACCAGCTCCAATTTGGCAATGGAGGATGAAGAAGGTGAAATTTTCAATAACACGTACCTGACCGATTTGCAAACGGGCCGCATGTCCATGTGCCGTGATGTTTGGTGAGTTTACTGTTTTATTACAATTGCTTAACGTTCAGAAATTTGAAAGTGCTGTAGAATTTATATTAAAAAACTGCTAGACGTTTTTTGTGAATTGGAAAATGTTTCGTTAGTTTTTGTAGTTGTTGTATACATTCTGAATAAATGTACTTAATGCTATTGTTTTCTATAAAACATTGCAAAAACGTTGCATATAACTAGGCGCATAATCAAATAATATACATTATAAAGGTACCTTAAAACATAATGATTTTTGTAGTCTATAGTGTTTTTAGTTCGATTCAAACCAATATATTGAAGGTTTATTTTCCCAAAAATATATTTTCGAAATAAATATTTTCTAAATCATGTTGTTGTTGTTGTAGCGTAAAAATTTTGTCGACTTGACACTCCTTGACCGGATAAAAAATCCGGATCCGTTCCGGTTACCTAGACCCGAATGTCTTGGGAACGGATTTTGTCAGTCATAGAGTTGCTCGGTTTCTTTTCATACAAGCTGAAGCTTTCTTTACTTACAGTCAATATTTAACGGAATATATGTTTCAGTAAAAAAATTATTTGAGA